ATATATATATATATATATATATATATATATGTATATATGTATATATATATATATATACATACACATACACACACACACACACACACTCTCTCAATCTTACACGGGAAAAGACCCGAATACACCAAAACCTAATCAATGGATTAAATTTTTGATTGGAATGAATTTTTATTTTTCTTCTTTGTTCTTTTGCTTTCTTGAATTTTACATATTTTTTTAAATAAAAAAGCAATTTTTTATCTGAAGCTTTTCACTTGCTGTTCTGTCATATTATTAGTCTCCTCATTTCAAGTTCTAAAAGAGCAGAATGAAAATTAAGGCAGAAATGTTTATAAATCCTCATTAATATAACAAATGATAGATTAGAGAATGATCTGAAGACAAAATGCCGCTTTGTTAGTCTAAATTGATCTGAGGCTGATAAAGAGAGGAGATTGTTGGAAATTTCCCATATAAACTGCACAAAGTATCTCCACAGAATTATGATTATAAACAGAATAGACTGCTTAATTTCTTCAAGGAAACATCACCTGAACAGAAGGAGCTTCTGGATTAATTACAATTAGCTAATTGAAATCCTTTTATTTTTAGCTTTGAGTACCCTAGGTTCCAAAGGCTACACCACTTTCTATAGTTAAACATTTCTAGCACGTTAACCATTGATCATTTTTTAATTATGGGAGGGTGACATAATTGTATGAGCAGAAACTGCTGTAAGAAAAGACAAAATAGAGAAACCATGCTTCTTCCAACAAATGCCTAGTACAATAAACTGAAAACAATTTCAGAAAGGAAATTCATAGCTCATGATTTTGAAGGCTGATGATCAATTCAGGAAAAAAATGATTTAGATTAGAATGCCTTTGAGATACTTGGTTTTTATAAACTTGCAAGATTAGTTTTCGGTGATTCTTAAACGTAGAAGATGAGCCAGTTGTTCTTTCACGAGAAAGCTGCCCAGCGCCATAGATTAGGTGGTAGAGCAGTCATTCTGCCAAAGGAACATAAGTTAAAACTCACCTTTCGGATTTGGAGTCTCAGCAGTCCAACTTCCTCCTGTCACTATACAATAATGCTGAGGAACTTTCTGTGTGATTTCCCTGATGCCTAAACATGGTAGAGGAATTTGTTGACTAGTCCAACTGACGCTGACGACTTCATTGTGTTGGTTTGCTTGTTTGTTTTTCAGCGACTGACCTTGAGACATGTGAACAGTAACCAGTGTCTTGATGAGCCCTCAGAAGATGACAAAATGGTTCCTACCATGAAGGATTGCAGCGAAAGCCGATCCCAGCAGTGGCTGCTACGTAACATGACCTTGGGTGCCTAAAAGCCAAGACACAGACTTCGTGTCCTTCCTCAGACCTTGGAAGGGTCTAATCTGCTCACCCTTCACACAAAAGGATGTTCTTCTTCCTTTGTGGTCAGTGAAGAGAAAGGGTTTGGATGCTTGATTCAAGGCCCACATGCCAGAAAACTACTTTTTTTAAAAAAAAATTGCTTCAAAGCATGGTTGCACTTTCTCTCTCTCTCTCTCTCTCCCTCTCTCTCTCTCTCTCTCTCTCTCTCTCTCATTTTTTTTTCTACAAGTCAGCTGAACACATGGACGCTTTATCCACCCTGGCATATACAGTATTATGAAGACATCGCAGTTTTGAGAAAAGCAGACTCCGGAAAAGGGTTACAAAGCGAAAAATTGCAAGAGGGTGGGGAAGTGGCTTGCTGTGGGTTCTGTCCTGTAATGTTGCTTGAAAGTGACAATGTTAAATGCCTTATGAAGCTCACTCGCATTGTGAAAGATGGTGAAACATTTGTTTTCCTCAATTGATGTACTTGTACCAGTCCTTCATGGTGACAGAGGAAGAATCCATTGTTAATCTGCTGCCAACCCATTACCTATGAATAGCCCAGCTGAAAAAATTTCTCAGCAGTAAATTTCTGTATATATTGGATGTTTTTCATGTATAGTGTCAGGGGAGGCGGGGGAGTGGCATTTCTGTTTCTGAAACCTCTGTTAAAATCCACAGAACTGGATGAAGAATATTGCTGGTACGTGGAGTGTGATATCGAATTCACGGCCAAGGGAAGCAGAAGGAAATGGGATTGATGATACCCACTGGTGCCCTTTGCAAAATATAAGTCATTACAAACATTGTAACACATTTGGCCAACTTCCATAATCTCACATTAATAATATAAAAGGCAGCAAGAGCTGTTTATCCAAATTACATGAGATGCTGGTAGAAGAACAGGTTTATGAGTTAGACACAAGCTGATTTCAAGTTGAGTTTGGTTGCAATTCCTTTTTGTCCTATTAAATGTATTTGATTTCTAAAGATCCTTGGTCCCTAGGCATAAATAAAACCTGTGTAATACCGATAGGTCTAACCTGAAAATGTCAACAATGCAATGCAACCTCTTAATAATTATTGAGATATTATTACAAGACGTATAAATCTTCCAAACATAGCAAGTTGAACTTTTAGCATATGACAGCTTCAAGTTCAGGGCTAATTAAAAACATGTCTAATAAATGTGTCTGGTTTGTATATGGAGGACATGGGATAAGATACAACTATCTATATAAACAATAGTTTATTTTTTTTTAAGGGGTTTTTTTTTGGTCACATATCTCTATGCCAGGATGCAAGTAGGAACAAAATTTATCCAACATTAGAACCTGTATAGTTCTAGTGAGCATTACTAGGTCAGAAAGTACATAAACTTTACTCATTTTTATCTGAATTTAATTTATTGCAGTTTGCTATATCAGCCTCATGGCCGTGCCTAAGTTTCAGTAGATTGTGCTATATTGGGTAGTATGGACAGATCAGTTCCACACTGCATTAGTGAGAGATTGAACTGACCCCTTTCACGTTTCATTCTGGCATCTTGAGAAAATGAGATGGTTCTTTCTATGTGAGACTGTCTTTACGTTGTTATCACCCTTCTGTTGGTTTTGAAGGTGCTCATTTGTCTGCTTTTCCTATGCCAGAAGCCTTCTCCACAAGTACCATATAAGTATGATAGGAAAATGTTCGCATTTCAGCAGGATCAGAAGCAAAGGGGCATAAAAATATTGGCCTGGAATCCAAATCGGAGTGCCAGAGCAGCTGAGGGAGACAGCATTCCCTGGAGAAGGGGGATGGTCTGATCAGCAGAAGTGGGCAAACAGAAGATGTATTCAAGAATACAGGTAATCCTTCACCACAGTTGGGACCAGATTTCCGGATATAAATCATTGCAGTTGTAAGTTGAGTTGTCCATGTGATTGGACCCTATTTGGCAACTTTGGGGGCAGGGGTTAAACAAATCACTTCAGTTGTTAAGGGAACCTGTAGTCATTAAGTGATTGCCATTGTTGTAAATACAGGGTGGGGGGGGGAGACTATGATATGGCATTGTAATATCCAGAAATGCCATAAAACACTTGCTGTCATATTTTTTAAAAGGTCATTAAGTGATTGGTCCTAATTTGAGGAACTGCCTGTAATCTGATGTTGCCAGGATCCTTGACAAGTAATGCAGCCCTTTAACTAAAGGGCACATGATTCAGTTTGAAGCGTTACTGCTTATCTACAACATTCCAGGTTTCTAGATTGATCTTGGACAGGCTGGCTGTGGTTTCTGTATTATTAAGTGGGGGACGACGACACTGAGAAGCATTAAAGGTTAGGTTATTCTGCAAATTACCTTTTTGATACTCACCAGCCAAATTGGCTGATAATATGGCAGCAGGTTTTGTTCCAAAGAAGAAGGTATTTCCATTCTCCCCTATAGGTTTTAATCCCAAAATCCGAGTAACAGCAAGCCTCTTTTGCATCCTATAGCCACTCTAGCAGCCATCACGCTTGGAAAATCACTCTCATTTAATTTAAAGGTTCACGTTTTTTAACAATGATTTTCTGTGTTTTCCTTATTGTTGGTGCCATGTCCTTAAAATAATCGGGCTCCATTTCTTCCAATCCATTTTGTTGATTGGCCACAGTGCCATTACCACTTTCAATTTTCACACTTGTAGGGGCATTTTCATCCCATGAACACCAGTCTTCTACTTCTGGTTGTTTAGGAACAGACGAAAAATCCACAGTAGTTGGCAAAGTTATTTGGTCTCCACTAAGTCATATTGCTCCAGATCCATCAAGTAAAGGGTTTTGTTCAACCTCTTGTTATGTGCAAGCTTAAATATATGGGGTCTGACTTATTTTTTGAATAAGACTATAAAAAAGAACTTAATCCAGTGTAAGGAATCATGAGCATAAGTCCTATATATAGATAACATTATAAATACAAATTATTCCTGAAGAAATGTGGCTTGAGCTAAACAGTGAGGAACGTTACTGTTAAGTTAGCTGAAGCTAATTATCTTATTTTTGATCATTTAAGAAAGAGGGTCCAATATAAGCAATGCTTTTTCTTAAATTGTTAATAGGATGACATTAAGAAATAATGAAAGTGTTTGTTTCCCTCAAATGATAATGCAAAGGACAGAAACCTTCAAAAGGTTGGATAGGAAGGGGGTCTTTGAAAGTTTATATACAAAGTTCAAAAAAGGGACAGTGGAACCATCAGGCGATCACATCTTCAATTCCCACAATTTCAAGAAGGCTTATTAGGAATTTTAGGGGCTGAATCCCAACCCAGTTCAATCCTGTGCCGGGATTTTAGCTTAGAGCAGGAATCAGCAACCCGGGGCTCTGGAGCTGCATGTGGCTCTTTCATCCCTCTGTTACAGCTCCCTGTCACCAGTCGGCTCCACAATTGATAGGGTTAGGGCTTTTGATTAGGACAGGTAGAGGAAAAAGAATGTCATGCTAGGAGGAGACAAGAATGTCATGCTAGGAGGAGATGATGCCGGCTGACGGCCTGTTGGGGGAGGGCCTTCTCTGTAGCTGCGCCGGCCCTGTGGAACGATCTACCCATAGAGATCCGGACCCTTACCATTCTCCCGGCCTTCCGAAAAGCCACCAAAACCCTGGCTGTTTCGGCAGGCCTGGGGCTGTTGATTAATGTCCAGCCCCATTTAGACAGAATGGATGGTGTGTAATTTTAACAACTGTATTTTTATTCTTAATTTTTTTAATGCTTTTCAGCTTGTTCTGTAAGCCGCCCGGAGTCCTTCGGGAGTGGGCGGCATACAAAACCAATAAACGAAACTTCCAATCGACTCCAGAATTTAACGGAGCTTTCGGTTAGGACCTTTGTGGTTCTGAGTGTTTAAGGTTGCCGACCCCTGGCTTAGGAGAAGCAATGGCAGGCAGATGGCTACAAGCAGAATCAAGACTATAGGTTCTACTTCCACTAACCCTACTGCTAATTCCAACAAAATGTCTCCATGAAGCACCTCATGGACTGCCACATCAAATACCTACTTCATCCCATCTTTTTAGTGAGCAAACAATAGGACACAGGGGATATGCCCCAGCAGCACTATCATTATATTCCTAAACTGTTAAGGCTAAAATCAAAGTTTTGATAAATAGTTTTAGAGGATTGTACATTAGCTTGTGGTGTCCTCTCTCTGTGTTCTGTAAATCAATAAAATGTGTGCTGTTCCTCATTTGAATGGCATTAATTACTCACTTTTTAAAGTCACTTTATGATGTCAGCAGTTGAGTTCAAATTTAAACATTGTTTTTTGAAAACTTAAAGTCAAGTTGGCTTTTCTCTCCCTGTGTGTAGATTAGAAATAATATCCTAATTTCATAGAAATGTGTCGAGGCACAATATACTAAATATGAAAAATGATTGAGGTATAAATACCTAAAAATAAGAACAGTATTTAAGAAAAGGTAAAACTTAAGGAATTTCTTGTGGCGGGAAAAATAGGTATATAAAGTTTGAGCCAAATGGAAATAAGTTCATTCTGTCTTCAGTGGATGCTTCTGGACTGTTGAATCCAAGAAAAGCACTTTTATCGAACAACAGACAACTAAAATAGCCTTTTAAAAGGTGATTAGTATTGTACTGATAATCGATATAGTCCAGGGTTTTTTTACTTTAAATTAATGAGATCATATCTGATCATATAAATTTTAGTTGCATCTCATTTGTAGATGCTAAATACAGTCTCAAATGAGGCATATATTAGCGAGGGTGCTTAAGTGTAAAGCTATGAGTTAGGATGAAATGGTTGAGGAAAGAAATTTGAAATAAATTTTATAATGTTACTGTCTTTGAAATCCTACCGCACCGTTATAAACTGGATAAACAAACACAATTTCAATAGGAAGTCAGGTTTGCAATTAACTATTGTAATAGCAACACCTTGAGAATTTAAACTCTGTATCCCACAAACCATTTATACACAAGTGCTCACAGGGACACCTATCCACCTGTATTTTCCATGTATGGATAAATTAAAAAGTATGCTGCTAATACTGTATGAATGCATCTGGTAAGACTCAACCACATTAACATGCTACTAAGTATATTGCTATTGTCTCATCTTAAAATGCTGACTGCGCATCAGCCAAAATGTCTTTGATTATGTGAATGATTAGCGTGAAAGTATTTTCAACACTGAGCGATATTTCTGAAGCCCCACTTTTATTTTTCCAAATAGACTAAAGTTGCCCTTTTGTTCCTTTAAATGTTCAGGATAGCTGGGCCACTGATGTTCCAAAACCCTCCAGACTTTGCATACATGTTAACAAAATCAAATTTGGCCAAAGTATGCATGTTAAGGGCTTTCTAGCCAGTCTCACCTTCTGATTGGTATGCTTCTGTGATGTGCAAAATTACAAAATTTATCACATCCCTGTATCTTTAAATGGAAATATCTGAAGCAAACACCAAAAAGGCATAATATGCAAAGAGAGCCCCCTTTAAAATGGCCACTGTGAGTTTTTGTTCTTTTTTAATATACTTGATCATCTAATTTAGAGGGAGTATCCATTGGAAAAAATGCTCTTAAAACTTCCTACACTGTGTGCTTGGGACACAGTACAGTTACAATTCTTAAGAGTGGGCTGGGGTTCAAGAATTACCAATTTAAAATGTAATCGTTATTAAATGTTAACTCTGCTGTAAATTTTCAATATTTATACATTTTGTAGAAATAAAATATGCCAGTTTAGTTTTATTCTACTGGGTGTTGTCGTTCTTAAGGGCATGACATTAAGTTTTGCTCCCTGTCTCAGATCGTATACTAAGAATTTTATATCAGTGTTTCCCCAGTATGCTGGCTGGAAATTTCTGGGAGCTATAGTCTACACCTCTTAAAATTGCTTCAGTTGAGAAGCCTGGTTTATGCCCACATAGCAGTGGTGGGATTCAATTTTTTTTACTACTGGTTCTGTGGGTGTGGCATGGCTTGCTGGGCGTGGCAGGGGAAGGATACTGTAAAATCTCCATTCCCTCCCCACTCCAGGGGAAGGTTACTGCAAAATCTCCATTCACTCCAGGAGAAGGATACTGCAAAATCT